ATAATCAATACATTTCCATGGATTATTCAAAATCAGACTACCACAAATAATTTTATACATCTAAACACGAGTATGCCTTACATCACTGACACTAGTGGCCTGTGGAGGGCGGAGCAGGCCTGGGATGAAGCAATGAAACCTGTGTGCTTGCCTCCTGGGTTTCTGTTTACTTTGTTCTGCAAGACAAGATGCTAAAATTACAGACCTTGAAACTCCTGGTATAGAGGGGGACATTTCTATGCAAAAGTGCTATCTTCGTGTCCTAACGGCTTATAGAGTTGCACCCATGGTGATCATGTGTCTGTCTGTATGTGTGCTGTGGCTGGGAGTGGGGAACACGAAAGTACTAATGTTAGGTGGTGGTTTGAGGCAAGCTCTCATTGTGTAGCCCAGGTTAGCCTCCAACTTACTATGTAGCTTAGGATTGCCTCATTCTTGCAGCATTCATATGCTTTGGCTTTCTGAGTGCTAGGGTGACAGGTGTATGATTGTGACACACAGAACTGGTCTTTTAAAAGATAAGTCTCCTCTGGGCGCAGTGGTACACACCTGTAATCATAGCACTCAGGGAGGCAGAGGCAGGCAGAGCTCTGAGTTCGAGACCAGCCTGGTGTACAAAGTGAGTTCTGGACAGCCAAGGCTACACAGAGAAACTCTCTCTTGAAAAAAAAAAACAGCCAAACAAACAAACAAACAATATAAGACAAATTGTAGTTGCTGGCTTTGTGGCCAGGATTCTAACTAGAACCTAACTAGAAAAGAAGCTTGTTTATCCAGAAGATTAAAGATCCTGAAAGACTAAAGTAGGGTCCAAGCCACAGCAGATATGACTTTGAAGGGCAGACCCTGAAAGCAAGCTCTCCCTCTGCAAGAGACCAGAGCTACCATAATTTTGTCGTTTGAGTCAGGTTAGTGAAAATGTAATATAATGCTTAAAAGAATGATTCAACACGCACACTGCCTGGGCTTGAAATTCTAACACCATCTCCAATTTTGTGACATTTGTAAATCATGCAGAGTTCCATGTTTCAGGGAGCTGAGAAGAATTTTGCATTCCTTACAGGAGTGTTGTCAGGATTGAGTTGATTCCTGTAGAGCCCAACAACTGCTTAGTTAGGCGGCAAATTTTAATTCTTAACGGATGTCACAATAATAGCCGTGCTCTATACCAGCTACGCCATTATTTCCATGCCTATTGCTTTTCCCAAGTAAAGAACATGGGATAATCACATGGAGCACATGGCATGCAGTGTTCCTCAAGGCAGTTTTTAATTACTGAGTCATTTTCTCAAACATCATTAACTACTGAGAACATACTCAGCCCAGGTGCTCTAGATGGATGGATCTGTGCCCTGAGCACTTCCTGCTGCTTCTCCCTCCCGTGACAGGCTCTCCAACAGGTACGGAAAACCACAAACCTGAGTCCTAGTCCTGTCTGCCTTTAACAGCCTCTGTGTAGGCCTTTGGGTTTCTTATGTGTATGCTGTGAAGAGCTAGTAGCTCCGTGGCTTTCAGAATGCCTTGCGGAGATGTAAGGAGCTGATTATGCAGAACGTGTGGCCTGAGGACTAATTCTTCAAAAGCCGGAGTTCAAGTTTGCTGTCTTGAAATTCCATGTGCATTTGATGAATGAGAACCACTGCTAATTCAGTGTCGGCTTCTTTGGGGTAGATACCCTGGAGAGGTACCGCTGGGTCATATGATGGGTCTGTTTTTAGTTTAGTTTAGTTTTGCTCTTTGAGAAACATCCACGCTGACTGCCGTAGAAGCTGGACGAGTTAACATTCCCGCAAGCGGTGCACACACCAGTACTGTCTCCAACCTCCCGAGCGTTTGTCTTCTTGGTGACAGCCATCCTGGACTGGGATGGAAGCACAGTGTAGTTTTCACTTACATTTCGGTGGCGCGTGGTAGGGAATGGTTTTTCATATGTCTTGGCTATTTGTACTTTTAAAAACCATCTGCCCATTTGTTACCTGGTTTGTTTATTTATTTATTTATTTGTTTATTTATTTATTTATTTATTTATTTAGGTACTTGGTTGTGTGTGTGTGTGTGTGTGTGTGTGTGTGTGTGTTTGTGTTCTTTGTATCACGGAGATGCTTGCACATCACTGTTTACTGAGGCATTATTCACAGTGGCTAAGCTATGAAACCAAGCTAGGTGTGCATCAACAGAAGAATGGCCAAAGAAAATGCCGCTTATAGACACAATGGAACTCTTACCACAAATAAAGAAGAGTGGAGTTAACGATGTTTACAGAAAAGTGGATGTGATGGAAGATGTCTATACTAAATGAACTAAGTCAGCCTCAGAAAATAACAAATGCTTCATTTTCTTCTATTAATTTTGGGCCTACACTGTGGAAAATTGAACCGTACATTTACAGAATACATGGAAACAGAGGCAGAACTGTCCAGTGGAGCAAAGGAGAGCAGTGGGAAGGGTGGATAGGTCTAGGAAGAACCTACCTACAGTGCCTCGTGGACTTACATGAAAATTCCTTTTGTAACTAAGTTTAACAAGCTTTTTAAACATGGCTTATAGTTTTAAATATATATATATATAGTTTTGCCTACATGAACTCAAAGGTTTCTCCAGCTGCAGCTGCTCTATATATGCTCCAATGTTTCTGAAATTGTTCACTGAACCAAAGATGCAGAAATAAATTTATGGGCGAAGGCTTTAAGTCCCAGGCCCGAGGATGCTGAGGAGCAGGGAGAACAGCACAAAGCAACAAGGCCCTGTGCAGCGTGAGGCCCTTTCACATTTGAAACAGAGAGAAGGGCACCCTGTGGCAGGCACCTCACCTCGGCACTGTGACGCGCCTGTGTGTGGCGAGCGCCAGGGGCCCGGCGCTAACTGTGTGGGCAGAAGCACCCTTGTAAGGGGGTTGTAACCTGCTCACAGAGCAGTTATTAAGCAGCGTGTGCGCCCCCCGCAGCGCTCTTGCTGGTCAGTGACTCCTGAGAATAGCCTTTTCACATCAAATGGTTACAGTCGCGATGCTGTGTTGCTGTTAGAGGCGGATGGGAAATCCATCTCAGGAGCACTTGGTTCAGTTGATTGGAAGAATGCATGAGGTAAATAAAGTCACCGATTTCTCTCTGGAGAGAAAACCCGTACTGATTAATGAGTCTATAGGATATGTGTGTAGCTTGGATTAGCCAAGTGTTTAGGCCTCATTTTCAACTTTCTGCAAGTAAAAAAAAAAAAAAAAAAAAAATGCATGTTTATAAATAAATACACACAGAAAATGTTAATATTTCCTCCCAGGTCGTTTTGATAATGATTAATGATTAATATGTAACAGTAAGAACTTGACACCCCTTGCCAGCTTCCCATATGCTGTGAGTTGAAGACTACCCCTGAGTTCTCTCACCAGTTCTGGGCCCTCTTCTACATTCATTGTGTGAATGCGTGTTAATTAAGGTATACTTTCCATAGCTGCGGTGTGTCAGCATGGAGCCCTATCACTTATTAACACTTCAGCATGGCCTGTCCCATCGTTACTTTCGGATAGTTGACACTTGATTAGTGACACTAGAGCACAGGAACAGTTCCATGCAGAGCAGAAATCAGAAAGGCCCACAGCATGAAGGGAGAAGGCTCGTCCACAAGCAGCTGGAGTGGGGAATGTCAGGAGCCAGGAGGTCCTATTGAGTCCAGCAAAGACTGAGGTATTGACCAAAGGCCGTCCTGTGGAAGAGTGATGAGGGGACAGGGTTTGTCTGCTCAGGAGTTAGCCCAGTCTACTGTATGCAATCCATCTCCAACAGGTGTCGGCAGAATCCAACTGTTTTTGTCCCAGCGTGATTTGGGCAAAAGTAAAGATTTAGTGTGAATATGCTTTTACACAGTAAACGTATTTTTATGACTTATTTTCTAAAATCAAGTTTCTCAAGGAAACATGATTTTCTCTTCCAATTTCATTTAAATAATATATTTTATCTCAAAATAATTTTTGAAGGGAAATCAGTTCCCATATAGAAAACAAGTGATTCTCTCTCTAATAAGACATTTCCAATTATAGTTGCTCAATAACAAAGCGGCTGTGAGAATGCTGTTTTTGTTTTTTTCTTCAGTGTTCCATATGCACAGCTCTGATCAGGAAAAATTAAAGATGTGTTATCTCCTGCAAATGGTGAATTACACCCAGTGGGTTGGGATGCAGATTGTTTTTTTTTTTTGTTTTTTGTTTTTTTTGTTTTTTTTTTTTTTTAGTTATAAAAGAGCTGGCTAGCCTTTGCTTTTGGGAAATATTCTTTTTGCCTTAACTCTGTCTTATGGTGACCATTATTTCAAAAATCTACAAGTACTGTAAGAGAGTTTATCTCCCATACTGGAAGGATACTCTGCAAAGCATTTTGCGTCAATGTCTAGAGAACTTAATAAGCACCCTCCCCATATTTCCGTGCAGGCTTTGCTCACACCTGCTGTTTCCAGAATGAGCCTAAAAATATTACAGTGTCTTTATAAATTAAGACCTGAAGATAAAAATTGGCCCAAGAGACTTTATTTGAGCATTCATCCTGTTGTTAACTTATGATATTATTTTAAAAACTGTATCTGCCGATTTTAACTTGATTTTTTAAATTATTATCATTTATTACCACTTATTCACTTTGTGTCCTGGCTGTGGCCCCCTCCCTCCCTTTTCTCCCTCTATGCCCTTTCCCCAGTCCACAGATAGGGGAGGTCCTCCTCCCCTTCTATCTGACCCTAGCCTATGAGGTCTCATCAAGGCTGGCTGCATTGTCTTTCTCTGTGACCTGGCAAGGCTGCTACCCTCTCAGAGGGAGGTGATCAAAGAGCCTACCACTGAGTTCATGCTAGAGACAGCTCCTGCTCCCCTTACTAGGGAACCTACTTGGAGACTGAGTCTATGGGCTTTATCTGAGCTGGGGCTTTAGGTCCTCTCCATGCATGGTCCTTGTTGGGGTATCAGTCTGTCAAATATATTATAGTATTTAAACTAACTTTTTCCATTTAATTTCCAGGGCTACTGCAACACATCGAGGCCAGGTGATTTTCAAAGATGCATTAGCCCAGCAATTATGTGAACAAGGAGGTAAGACCAGCCTTGGTTTGTTTATGTTTGTTATGTCTAAATTATCCATGGCAAGTCCTATGTTCTGTTACTGAGCTATCATTTCATTACTGTCACTTTATCATGATGTTTTTAATTTGAATTATTGACTACTTCATATCCCTACTAATTGTTTGTCTATTAGTTATTGATAAAGGCCAGCAGACAATCTGAACATATTCACTGTGAACAAACAAACCAAAAGAAAATGTCTTATTTTCATAGTTTTCCTGAGTCACTCTTAGTTGTCCTAGGAGTGATAAATTTTAATAGTAATTATAAAATTTTATAAAAATAGTTCCCTTTAATTTGCCACTTATGCCTCTAGTACAGTGTGTTTCTGATTATTACTTTACACCTAATATCTGTGACTTTGCTTCAGTTGGTCTTATTATAATTTGCTTATACACATATATACTTAAATAGACATAGTCAGTATGATTTTACCTAAGTAATGTGGTATTTGATAAATTGTTACTGTCAAACTTGTAATTATTTGCTTATAAATTCTTCACTCAGAAAACTCCCCTCCATAATTTCAAAAAACTATTATCAGTATTCTTTGGTTAAATTAAACTTTCTTCTATGATTTTCAAGAATGCAGACATTAAAAATATGTCTTAATAGACAAATTTAGGAATTCTATTACAATGTAATTTTTCTGTATTTTGAAAACATAGAATACCATAAAGCAAGGAACATCAACATCCTAAAAAATACATAATGCCAAAAAATGTGGGTCCAATTCCCATTTACCAGTTCCTAAAACCTAAATTATCTTAAGCCTTACAAGTTCAAGTTCAAGTCTGTTGTACTATGATTGGGTTGGACTATTTAAAATGAAATAAAAAGCTAAGAAAATCAATGGGAAAAATTCTCAATGAATGAGGGCCAATGAATGATAGCCACCTTATATCACACATACACACAGTTTGCATCTTGTAGATACGGTGTAGGACAAGAAGAACACTGGGCTCCCCAGCAGCCCATGAGCCATGGAAGTCCCATTAGTTTAAACATACAAGCCAGGAAGCCCAAGGAAAATGATGGCTTCCTGCTGTCAGGAAAATAACTGTATTAAAAATGCTGTAAACCAAGTACTTATTTTGATTCTTTCTACTTTTAATTAAATCATTATTTTCTCAAACAAAATAACATAATTTTTCTTCAAATGGTTCTTGTGCACTAAGTGAAGAATTCCTAAACGGAAGAAAAAGAAAAGGCCTTCCCTATATACCAGAGCACAGAGTCTTTCATCTATAATGTATTTAGTTCATTGGTCTCAATTAAATGAAGCAACTCAGACAACACAAATTTCATTTTGTGGAACTGGGAACAGGAATATTTTAAGATTGTGTCATGGGTTAAACATACTGATAAAGGAGTATCGGAAGATATGAGAGATGTGGGTCAGCAGCCGTGGCCCCTTTCCTCGGCCTCACAGCCCTTCGCATCCCCACCTCACTTACCTTCATCTGAGTTCTACTCTAAATCTCCCTGAGTAAGCCTCATTCCAAAAGCCCAGTGCTACTGCTCCGCAAGTATCTCTTTTTTCCTTGTCCAGATGAACCTTTTGTGTCTTTTGTTCTGGCTGACTCCGGCTCTCAGATACACAATGCAAGGAAAGGAGACATTATGGTTCAGCAGTAATAAAGTTGCGATGTTTCCATCTCCATCCATTGTGTTCACAGATTGGCTTGTCCAAAGCCGATGTCTAAGATTGTTTATGTCCCAAGAGAGCACACAAGGCCCATCTGGTAGATGTCAGGGGCTGGTCCCCCGTCCCCCCTCTCAGCTGAGGAGAAAGCTACTGAGCAGTCATTCACTTTTGGGTTTCAGGCTTTACACACCCTTTGCGATCAGGGAGACGTGGTGGGAACTATGCTGGTGTGGCCTTGCCGGTTAGAGAAGCTGGCAGAGGCCAGGCTCAGCAATTAGAGTGGGAAGGCCCCTCCTGGAGCACAGACTCCAGGAAGGTCAGCTGACCTGTCATGCACAAGCTGTTTGAGATGGGGAGAATGTGAAAAGCTCTTTTCTCCTTGCACTTGCCTGTATTCTGATTCTTCTTCCTTTATTATTATTTACATTTTTACAATGAAATTGTGTTATTTGGGTTATAAGAAAATAACACAAATTGTCCCTATCCCCAAATTACAAATATGAGGTTTGCCTTTTGAAGAGGGTGGGACACTTCTGCTAAGCAGGTGAACTAAACTGTTTCTCAAGAAATGAAGAGAAATACAGAGTGCCCGTGTTTCTCCCATACGAGGACTCTCCTGCCTCTTAATATTGTCTCCACCTTGTCCTTATCATCTGCTGGCTGTTCATCTCCCCTACCTGGGAGCTTTTGGAAAGCAGAATCATGCCTCCATTTGTTTTTGTTTTGTTTTGTTTTAGCACACAGTAAGCTTGTCTTAAAGCATGCACTTATTTAATGATGAAGAGTCAACTTAGAATATTTACTGTTGAAAACTTACTGCCTCTCCCCAGAAGCTTTCCCCATTCTGAGCATTTCCCTTGGAGGACTGTGGAGCAGCCTGGCTGTCACAAAACATTGCTCCTTAAAGTGACGTTGGATGTAAAATGTGCATCTGTCGTACTAAAGCTGTAAGTTAGGACTGCGGAGGTGGCTGAGTCAACAATGTGCCTGGCACGCGAGCATGAGGACTTAAGTTCAGATCCCAGCATTCACACAACACACCAGGCATGGTGTGAATTTGCAACTCCAGGACGAGAGCGTGGCAGAGGACAGAGACAGGAAATCTCAAGAGTTAAGTGGCCCGCCAGCCCTGGCTGGATGAATGAGTTTCAAGTTCAGAGAGAGACCCAGTCTCAAAAATCAGGTGGAGAGTTCCCAACAAAGACAGCTGGCATTGGCTTCGGGCCACTATGCCCATGCCTACTCATGTGCATGCACAACCACATACATACGTGTTCACATGTGTGTGCACATACGCACATGAACTCACACATATATAAAACACATTCACCATACACACAAACAAATAAATTCATAAGTAGATAAATAAAACTAAAAATCTGAAAACTGTTCACAGATTTTTATTTCAACTCTAATGAATCACTTTATCTCATACCTAAATATTTATTTAATTATTCCCTTTACATTCCAGTCGTAGCCCCCTCCCTCTTCTCCCCCCAGACCCTCCCTTCCCTCCCTCCATCTTCTTCCTATTTCCCTTTTTTACCTCCTCAGAAGAAGGGAGCCCCTCCCCAACTAACCCAACCCAACACATCCAGCCATATCAGGACTGAACCCTTCCTCTTTCACAGTGTCCTGGCAAGGCAGCCCAGCCAGAGGGAAGGAATCAAAAGCAAGCAACTGAGACCATGTCAGAGATATGCCCCACTCGCCTTTCTAGGGGACCTACTTAGGGACCAAGCTGCCCACTGGGTACATCTGTGTAGGGGGCCTAGGTCCAACTCATGCGTGACCCTTGGTTGGTGCTTCAGTCTCTGTAAGCATCCCTGGGCCCAGTTTAGTTGGCACTGTAGGTCATCTTGTGGAGTTACTATCCCCTCTGGGTCCTTCTATTTTTCCCCCTACTCTTCCACAAGGCTTCTTATGATCTGCCTAATGCTTTGCTATGGGGCTCAGATTCTGTTTTGATCCATGCTTTGTGGAGCCCCTCAGAGGACAGCCATGCTCGGCTCCCATCTGCAGGCATAGCAAAGTGTCCCTAATAGTGTCAGGGGCTGACTCTCTCCCATAGTGTGGCCAGGCATCAGTGGGGCATTCCCTCCATCTCTACTCTGTCTTTATCCCTGCACATCTGGTAGGCAGGGTAAATTTGGGGGCAGAGTTTTTGTGTGTGGATTGGTGTTCCTTTCACTCCATTAGGAGTCCTGTCTGGTCAGAGGGTGGCCTCTTCAGTCTCCATGACCCCTGCTGCTAGGAGTCTATTAAATTCTGAGGTTCTAGAGGTAACAGTAAACAGTCTGCACATGGCTTCTTCTGACAGTCACAGCACAGCGCAGACGAGCTGGAGGCGCCCTCACCTCTACTCTGTAGCTGCTGCAGTCTTGGGTAAGGATGGGGGTTGGAGGTATATACTCACAGTTGTTTTAAAATAGAAGATGCTTATATTCACTCATTAGCAATAAAAAAAAAAGAACAGAAATAACCTAACAGTCCTCTCCAAGGATTATTGAATGTCCACTGTGGGTGTCAGCTTCTTTGCTAGCATAGGTCATGAGGTGTGTCAATGAGCAGAGCGTAGCTGAGTGGGAGGTGAGGGAAAGGGGGACTACAGTTTTACACAGGGCATACCCAGGTCACGTAGGTCTCACTGAGGAGGTGACAGTAGAGCAAAGAACCAAGACAGAACAAAGGAATGAGCCTGTGCCTTCCCCAGAGACTGCCCAGTATGTCACTGTGATTTCAAAGACAACAGCGGTGGTGAAGTACTGTTTACTGTGATCAAAGTAGAGAAGGAAATCCAGAATGGGCTAAAAACTTGTAAGTGGAGGAGAACAGTCCTCCACAAGAATTATTACGGGGCAATGTAGAAAGAGATGGAGTCGTAACATACTCTCGGTCACGTAAAATCAGTGCTTGCTGCACAGCCTAGGCTGTCCTTAAACTTGTCTGACACCCCTGCATCCACCATCCAAGCCCTGTGAATGATTACAGGCTCACACCACCACAGAGCCCCAAGAAGACTTCTGATCTTAAAAAAAAAAAAAATAGATCTTGAAAATCTGCATGAATTACATATGCCTCAATAAAAACGATCGCTGCTGCCTACATTCTCTGAAAACTTAGGGGGAAATTCTTACTCCTTAGGGCTTAATACAGGTGTCCAGTGTGACGCTGACGCCGAGTAGTTCAGCACGACCGACACTGGACCAATTGTGCACACAGATTGTGGCCAAGGACAGATCAGGAAGGATGGGTGTATGCCTGTGCTCACGGGCTCTGAGCTTCTTGGCAGATCCTCTTCAAACACACACTGGTTATTTAG